AGATAGATAGATAGATAGATAGATAGATAGATAGATAGATAGATAGATAGATAGATAGATAGATAGATAATTTATCTAGTGTTACCTTGATTGAATGAGGCCAAGATCACTTCCAACTTTTGCGGCTTGCCAAAATAAAAACTAAAAAGAATAAGATCCTGAAAAAATCAGAAGAGCCATTTCTGACCTTGTGTCAAATATACACAATACTGTATATTCAAATAGCTCCATTTGAATACAGGACAACTCCACGTTGGTCACATCTAGAAGGCTGTCACAAGCATTTCCATATCACCTGAGTCAACAACAATAGCAGGAGAAAAAGAAGAGGAACAGGACTTCACATTTCAGGGTTTCTTCCTTTAGTGCTGCTGAAAATGAATCTTTGACCACTGCCAATCTCTTTATAGATTAGCAGCAATCAGAAAGAAAAAGTACTCCAAAACAAAAATACTCCTCTGATCTATGTTTTTAACTCATTTTTATAATAATAGGGCAGATTGTGAAGGTGCATGCCTTCAGTTATGTGCTATTTTCTGGCCCTATTAGCAAGAACATGTCTGCCCAGTTGAATATGCTTTCCTGCTATATTAGTAGCCTGATATAATTGCATTTATAGCCTTTTATAAGTAGCCTTTTATATAATTGTATTTAACTACCCTGCCATTTTGTCCAATTAAGAATTCATGGTCGATATGCATTTTCACTGATAGAAATTGGTCAAATTAGTTTACCCATGTTGTAGGGTTGCTAGGAAGCCCCTCACAACAGCTGACTAGTTTAATGTTCTGGCATGGTAGGAGAAACAGCTGATGGAAAGGGGGAAAAAACACTGAAGCATTTGTTTAAAAATGTTCTTGTGTTATAGTAAGGCTCCATTTATAAATGATTGATGATTGCCATAAATGTGTTACAGACATAAGCAGTGTGTCTTACAAATGGCTGTAATTGATGTGCTGACCTTTTAGAATCAATAACACATGATTAATATTACATTAAATTATTTTTCATGCTTTGCAGACCTTTAAGAAAATTGACTTTGGTGTCCTATATACCACTGTATCTATAGATCCATTGTATAAGTCATTATAATCACTGACTATAACACTGGGTATTGCAGAACAAGAGAAATATATAAACAGGCTGTGTTGTTCTGGAATCTCAGCACTAACAAGATGCTTTTAAATGCTACCTCTGATGATGGTAACAAGCTGTTTGTGAGCCGAGGCTGCCACATGCTGCTTCCCATCTTCTCTCCCTTTATTTTTGGACTGTGAGAAATGTGGGCCAGTAACTATATCACCAACAGGAAGTTTTGGATTACAAATAGATCAGGTCCTGGACTTGCAAAGTCCCTTCCTAGCGACACTTCAATAGTCCATCACCAAGAGAGGGATGGCGGAGTTTGCTAATCCCTGAATGGAGTAGGGTGCATTCCACAGGCAATCCAAACCTAGAGACTGAAAGAAAGGTCTTTGCATTGCTGTTTGTGATTTGAAAAGAGTTTAAACTTTATGCTTACTTAAACAAAGTAAGCATAAAAACACAATTGTCAGCAAAGCAAAGAATGGCCTAGGTTATCCAACACAAGACTATTTTGTTCATGATTCTTAAGGATGTTTTTTTAAGCTGGATGTTTTGCCTTCTGTATTCTATGAGTGCAAAGCAGATTACCGTGAATAATATACATTAGCCTTCCCCAATTAAACCAACTAAAAGGGCATGATATTGGGAGAAGTCATTATACCAGGAGAAATGGTTTCTTTTTCAGTGAAAGACATTTAAGCCAATGGCATGCTGCCATTTTATACTGGTATTGTAAAATGGTAGAAAACACAAGAATGCATACATTCAACTAAGGACACCTCCACAAAAGGATTCTGCACGTTTCAAACCTAGTGCTGAACTTCTGTGATCCCACAACATTGGCAGTGGTTGACAGCTGAGTCAATTTACTTCCAGCTGTGCTTTGGTGTGAAAACACTCTTAAAGCAAGTTTCTTTCTGCTCAACTGGAGCTCTGGGAATCTTGTGGGCAGGCTGGTTTCTTACAGGAGAAACACTTGCATCACCCACCTCCCAGCTCAACACATCCTCTCCCTCTTCCCCATAGAAGATCAGCCACCACAGTATCTTGTCAAGGTTCTCTTTGAAAAGCAACATAAGGATAATTCTTTGGCAGTTTGCATTCCCTCCCCCCCAGAGGTATCACAATTACAGGCAAGTGCAATTGCCCTTGAGATCTGGATGGCCCCAATCCTGTTGGCCTTCTGGGAGGCCATGGCTTTTCCTTCAGGCACTATATTATTTTACATGCATTTTTGTTGGTATTCAGAGCTATTTGATTAACATAGGTGGTTATGATAAAAATTATTTAAATAAATAAATGAAATTGGGGGCAAGAATTGCAAAGTGCAAACCATGGTAGTGTGAAAGTGCTTGAGAATATATATTATTCTGGTATAATAACTTTAAGAACCTTGTGGAGAAATGTAACATCAACACTAGTTATAAGAATTGTGGGGAGATACGTTTTAAGGGGTAAAGTACAAAATCTGCAAGTTCTAGCATTCAGAATTCTGGAGACCTGGCTGTACTTTAAAGTCTTCCTCTTTAAAGGCTTCCCTTTCTCTTTTTATAGGATGCATCCATTGCACATAGATTCCACCTGATGAGGGAAAAGCATCCTGAAAAATTCAACAGCAGGTAAATATCAGCCCTTCCCCCAATTCTTTTTCCTTTTGTACTAGTTATAAGGTGCTAGAGTGGGACCAACTCACTTGCTTAAGCCTTTACTAGTCTGGGCACCCTCTATCTATATGTGTGGATTTCAGTTCCCAGATTCCCAAGCTTCTCAGCTGAGAAGTCGGGGAGTTGGTGCACTTGTCTGGAGAACTGGAAAAGGCTAGCTTAGGTCTTTTTCTCAAAGATGGACAAATTTCAGACACTGAGGATCTACTCATAGTATACCCTGGCCTCATCCATTAGTAACTTATCTATTAGCTAGGAGGCCAGAAGCAGAGGACACTACAGGTGACAGCAGCACACTCTGTTTTCCAAGAAGGCCCTTGTGACAAGGAGAAGACTAATCTAACTCTAAAAATCAGGGAGGTTGCTTTGTCTTTCACCCCAGAAAGAACACATATAAGAACTTTGGTATTAAGAAAAAAAAGCCAGCACGAGCTTTTTCCTTTCTCCTTCTTTCTAATCCAGTTGCTTTTGTGCCATGTCTTTTATATTATAAGCCTGAAGGCAGAGACTGATTATTTTAAATTGCTTTGGTAGTCTTTTTCAGTTGAAGAGTAAGGTTAAAAATGTAAAGCAATGCAATCAATCAATCAATCAATCAATCATTTTTGAACCCTGAGATCCAGGAATCAAGAGTCTCTTGCAGAAGGCATATCCCTAAAATTGAAAACTCTGGGCCCAGGAATTTGTTTTGAGTACCAGAACTGATAGCACTTACATGCTTCCATATAAAGATCCAATCCTCACCACCCAAGGCTTTTTCTTCTCAAGTAATATGGTGAGGAGAGGTCATATTTTTGCTACTGTTATCAAACAGAAGTCAACTTCTGTTGCTGGAATACTGAAGTCTACACAGAGATCTATTTGTAGAATCATTTTTTTTTCTTGAATTGATAAGTTTTGTTGTTAATATGTGTCCTAATGGAAACTGCTGTTTAGTAGTAGGCACAAGGGAATGATACATTAGAATACTCACTGTGGAACAATGCAACCATGGACTACCCACCAAAGCATAGAATTGTTAACAATCATATGAATTTCATCACCTCTAACCACTGTGTGCTCTGATGCCATTTTCTCCTACATCCATGGGATTAATATAGGTCCATATATATGGAGGAGCATATAACAATACCTTCTTTCCCATGGCAAAGGTGGTAGTCTCATGCATATATGTAGAGAGAGAGAGAGAGAG